CAATCTTCCCACCACACTGCATTAATATATTTCCACTCCTAAGCTCTGCTCACCCATCTCTGAAATTCTCCAAGTATGTTCTGGTGGAGGAGAGGTCTTTCTCTCAGAATTTGCTAAACACAAAAACAAGTCAGTGCAGGGAGCTGCTTTGGATGAGCTCTACAGATTTGCAATGGGGAAAAAAAGGAGGCTGGCCTTCCTCAACCAAGTGCCTAGCAGATGTTTTAGACTACAATTCCTATCAGCCAGTTGTGTATATGCTGACTGGGGATGATGGACTTTGTAGTCCATCATCCCCATATCAAGAAGGCAGTGTGCTTAGCAAGAAGGAAGCAGACTTTCATGTTTCACAACCACACATTTAACATTGTGTTATGAAACTGCACAAATTCCGATTTCTGTAAATATAAGTGGACTTAGGAAGAAGTACGTTCTCAGCTAGATTCTGGCAGCAAACTTTGAGGCAATGCTCCTGTTCCAAGATGCCCACTCAATCCCAGTACAGACCAGAGAAGAAGGTCATGCCACCTCTTTTTGTGAACTTTTATGTGGGATCTCTTCTTTTATAACCTTGAGGGCTGCTTGGACAAGGCAGTTAATTGTCTGAAAGCACGCCAAAACTCCCAGTCTGGCTCTTGGTCCCTCTCAGTTAACCCTGGTAACAGGGACTATGGCAAATCTCAGGTAGACAAATACGAGTTCTTTTCTCTAATGTCTAGACGGGCTAGTGGTCTGGCTGAATAGAAGGAATCTTTTCTTTATGGCTTGTTGAAAGGCGAAGCATACATGGTCACTCTGCCCGCCAGCAGCTCTGCTTTGCTCCGATTTTTCATTGTCGCCGGCTCATTCACTGTTCTGCTGAGTAGCGATTCAAGGACCGAAGAAGTAATGAAGTCTCGCCACTTCTCAGCAAATGTTGAACAGTTCTGCTCTGTGTGAGATGAAACAAGAAGGAAGGAAAGAAAGAGAGAGAGAGAAAGAGAGAGAGAGAGAAATATGGGCAGTGGGGGGAGAGGTCTCTTTTGGTCCAAGTACATGTTTCTGTAGGGCTGCTGCATGGAGAAGAGAAAGGAGACTCCGTTCTTTCCTGGCAGTTTTCACAGACTGCTTTGTTCGGCACTGATCAACAAGAGAGAATAGCGCAGCTCTGAATTGCAGCATAATGTACAATGGGGTCGAGTTTACCCAACAACCACCACACAAACCGCTGACCAGTGAATGGGGACAAAAAAGATGGGGCTCTGTAATATAGGATGCTAGAGAAGGAACTGGAGGAGAAGATAGGAAAGCCAAACTTCAGAAGGGTGAAAGAGATGTGTTACCCAGTTGCTAGATTGTCTTATCCCTTGCATGAGCCATCTCTATCACGGCATACACTCTTTATAGCCTCTCACCTTCCTTTTCCTGACAATTTCATGTCTGTCTGCTTCTGGAGGCCGTGCGTTGGAGAGAAACAACCCAATGTGTTAGTAAGAGACTTGGAGGGGAGAAAACGGTGGAAGCAAAAACATAATGGTCCCCAAATCTCACATTTCCAATCTTTGCCTCCCAGTTAGGATTGCTGAGCCAGGATTATCCCTTTTTCCTGGCCCTTCTGATGTTCTAAGGAGGGTGCTGGCAATTTCATTCAGATCATACCTTAAACACCCACCATACCACTTCATCACATTGAAGCAGGGAAGTGTACATCTCAGTTTTTAAATGAAACTGATGATTTCCCTACCTTTGTCACACTGTTAAATGTATCTGGGAAACTCCGTGGTACTCAGCATTCTTTCAGTAGATTTGCCATCACATTACAGAAATGGGCAAACATCCAGATGATTTCAAAAAATACAGTTCCCCACCACCTCATGAAATGTTTTAAAAGAATGCTGTCCCCCATGCTTAAAATATGCAAAGAATGCTCTGTTCAACACTTGAAGCCAAACTAATGTGATGACAAGAGTGGCTTCCCGTATTTTAAGTGTAGCACTCAGTGGCATTTAGTAAACGTGATGAGAGTTGCACAGAGTTCCCTATACAAATGACAAACAGCAAGGCTGGGAAATAAGGAAAAGACATGTGCATACTCCTTTCAAGGCATGGCTGTCACCTCAAGATTCTTCCTTTGTGTCCTGAGGACTGAAGGAGGAGGACTAGGCTGCGATGCCAGGCCCTGAGACCTGATGGCCCTGCTTCTAATTCAAAATGCTGGTTATAGTCTTGGATCCAGGCTCTCTAAAAGGCTATATCTCCCTACATGAATCTGCTGACCTTTAAGATCTTTAAAGGAAGTCTTTCTCTCAGTCCCATCACCATCACAGCAGAGTGCTTTCTCCATAACTGTTTTGTTTTAAATGCTGCAGTAAATTGAGCTTTTAATTGGGTTGTTGTGTTTCTATTTTATGATGTTTTAAATGTCTTCTTGTATCTTGTATACTTGTGCATTTTTGTATACTTATATTTATAATTAAGTGAGGTGAGCTCCCGCTGTTAGCCCCAGCTTTTGCCAACCTAGCAGTTTGAAAGCATGCAAATGTGAATAGACCAATAGGTACCGCTCCAGCGGGAAGGTCACGGTGCTCCATGCAGTCATGCTGGCCAAATGACCATGGAGGCATCTACAGACAACGCCGACTCTTCAGCTTAGAAATGGAGATGAGCACCATCCCCCAGAGTCAGACACAACTAGACTTAATGTCAAGGGGAAACCTTTACCTTTTATTTATAACTCAAGCCTTTCTTTTGTAAATAGAAGACTGATGTCATTGTTTTAACTTTGGTATTGATAGGTTTTGTGTGGGGTGGATTAGTTTTTAAATGGTTATAAGTTGGCTTGAATCCCATGCTGGGAAAATACAGGATAGGAAAGAAAGAAGGAAGGAAGGCACACAAAGAGTATTAAACGGACCAAGTCAGTTCCTTCTCCAGAGCTTCAAAATGTGACTTTTGGAGTGCAGTGTCCTGGGTCTCCCAAGGTCAGGTGTTTTAGTTCCCAGGCTAACTTTCTTCAGCTCCATGCTGGGGGTTGTAGTCCAAAAACACCTTTCCAAGCTCTGGGGAAGCCCAACATTTCCCCTTGACTGGAACTTTTCCTATTCCTCCACAAGCAGGCTTGGTTTTTGAATAAAAGAACAGCCCTTCTTCCAAAAGTATCACCAACTTAGCCAAAGTGCTGGGAAATAATCCTTGCTGCCACCATGCAGTTAACAGCGAAATTGCAATCAGGAATTAGCACTTTGAGTAAAGAGAGGAAGGAATGGGTCCTTTTATGCCAGGAGGGGAGAGACCTAGCTATACTACATGTCCCAAGTGGAATGCTCTAAGGACCAGCTCCAGAGCAGGATACATTGAGCATCAATGCAAAGGAGGAAAAATCAGTATGAGTTTATACACATACTTTTCAAGGAAGTGCTTTCCTTGAGATTCCTCCTCTTCACCTGAAGCGTGGCCAAGCCTGAAGAGCTGGGAAGCCTGCAGTGGACAGAATTCCTTCTCAGAAGAGCATCTTTTCAATCTCCAGTTGACGGGCCCACCCACACTAGAGAATTATAGCATAATTATTCCTTTTTAACTGGCATTCTCCTGTTCTATGGACATAATTTGGTGGTCTGCTGGACCGCTCTGGCTGAGATTTCTCAGTGCTTCTCCCTAAACTATAAATCCCTGGATTATAGAGCATGGAATCCTGAATAATAGCACTATAGTAATTCTGGCAAGTCATCTTGGGGGTGAATTTGGAATTGAAGTTTGGAAGGCATTTCAAATGAGAGGAGGCTGGTGGGGCTGAAAATGACAAGTCCCATGCACCCCACAGTAATTGATTTGAGGCCTGCTCCAAGGGCAGTGGAAGCTGCAACCCAATATACCTGCAGGGCAGCAGGTTTGTGGAGCCTCTTTCAATGCCGCACTGGTTCCTCACACCAGTGGAAAGCAGGGCGGCCTGTTTTCCTCTTTCAGAATCTGCTACAGTGGGATTTGTCTTGGAGGCATTTCAAATGTACCTCTTGACACAGTTCTTGTCCGAATAAGACGCAGGAAGACTGCTGAGTGAGCAAAAGTGCCGTGAGAGAGACAGAGCCTTCCCCCTCAAATGATGCCTGAATGCAGAGATCCACCTTGACCTTGAAATGCCTGAAACAGGTATTGATTTCTTTGAAAAAAGTGAATGCTTCTCGCATCTTCAGGACATTTCCCAGGCTAGGCTTGGCATATCCCATTTGCCAGGGAAGGCAAACATACAATGAAAAGAGGGATGTGTGTGACCCAGCAACAGCAGAATATAAGCAAGAAGGCATGAATCAGTAAGGAGGAACACACATGCCAAGACAGGCTGCAGCAGTTTGCTTTTGCCTGAGCCAAAAGATAATAACATGGCTTTCATCCTGAGTCTCTGATATTTTGACTTGTTTCTAAACACTGCCATGCTCTTTGGAGGTTTATGCCATGCAACAGTGGGATCTAGTTCTCTCTCTCTCTTTCTCTCTCTCACACACCCCTCCATCCATTCCTCTAGCTAGCTATCAAAACAGAAATAATCAAATGCTATAGAAAGGCGGTTCAGCTATAGCGTGGTACAGTATATTGGTCTGTTTTCTTGAAGTCCACTGCGCTTGGGTTATTTGAGGAGGAAGCCACAAGAGGGCAGCACGCTCCACTATTTCCTTTTTATGCATTAAGCAAAGTAATAAGACGTAGTTTGGCTAATATTGGTGGGATCCCTTCTTTTGGAACTATCTGAGAAATTGGGGCCTCACTGGGTGCCAGTAGTTCTGACCTTTGACCCTGAAAGATCAAGTCAGTGGTGTGTGGTTGGCTGGAACTCCAGGTCCTCCCTGTGGTCCTCTCCGCCTGCCCTATCCAGTGGAAGATATCTAGAGCACACCAGGTTGAGGAAGGTGGGCACACACTTTAGTCTCCTTCCTTTTCAGCTTCTCCACAATCACCCAAGGTCTTCCACAGTCAACTCTCATTCACAAAGGCATACTGAGTTTTTCTGAATAATAATTCAACAGAGATACAGTTTTTAAAATATGTTTCTCCAAATACGGAGGATGGATGAGGGGAATGAGACACCAGGAAGGTGATAATGGTTGGGAAGCACACACCAACATCCCAGCTAGCCTGGATAGGAACAACCAGAAAAGGCTGTCGAGAAAAGTGCTCTGCTAAGGAACATCTTGGCAACTACTTCAATCCTTTTCTTCTCCGTGTGTGATGATATGGACCAAGTTTTTATAATCCAGGTTGCCAGTCACATCTGGTGGGAAAGCGGCAAACATTTGGTCAACCTGTTGGAAAGAAGGAACAGCGAAGAGGGGAGCTCTTTACTGTTTTATCGTGTGCCATCGGCAGTAGCTACAACTGCCAACTTTTCATTGCCAGTTATTAGATACAGAGTGCAAGCTTTTGCTTACTGTTTTTGCTTACTCCAAAGTATGTCCCACAAAGTTGGATACAACTTATTCCTCAGTCATTCCATTAATCAACTCAAATGTTAGTTGATCAATTGGTGGGAATGACAATTAAGGACATGCTTGTTTCATCCTCATCAAACTGCTTCCTGCCATGGCGGTCCCTATGTAGACTTGTCCACAGCTGCATGGTACATGGTAGACTCCTGCAGAGGTGAAAGGATCCTTCTTATCCTTTGCTGAATGTTGGATTTGTGAAGAGGGATCCTTTCACCTCTGCTGGAGTCTACCATATACCATGTAGCTGTGGACAAGTCTACACAGGGACCACCTAAAGCAGCATTGCCCAGACAAAAATCAAGGAACATGAAAGGCACTGCAGAGTATTTCAACCAGAGAAGTCAGCCATAGCGGAACACGTGATGAACTAACCTGGGCACAGCATATTATTTGAAAACATAGAAATGCTGGACCACTCTAACAACCACTGTGTCAGATTACACAGAGAAGCCATTGAAATCCACAGGCACGTGAAAAATTTCAACAGAAAGGAGGAAACCATGAAAATGAACCAAATCTGGCTCCCATTATTTTAAAAAAACCCTCCAGAATCAGGACAGTAAATAAAGAGCAATGCTACCCCCCCCCCCCAAAAAACCCCCCCGAGAGGAATTCCAGACAGGAAACAATCAGGGCCAGCTGACACCTCCCAACCAAGGATTCCCCAAGACAGGAAGTAGCCAGGCTTTGAAGTTGCAAGGCCATTCGGTGCTAATCAAGGTGGCCAATTGCAACATTCACACTTGCCTTCAACAGGCAAGAGTTTGTTCTCCCACCTTGGACATTATTCCACAAGGATATATATAAATCCAACTTGCCTAGTTTCCAACAGACCTCACAACCCCTGAGGATGCCTGCCATAGATTTGGGTGAATCATCAGGAGAGAATGCTTCTTGAACATGGCCAGACAGCCTGGAAAACTCACGGCAACCCAGTCATTCCGGCCATGAAAGCTTTCGACAGCACAATATACTTGTGGTTAATGATTCATCTATCCAGCTTAACATGTCCTCTTACCTCCTCCTTTGAAAACCGCTCTCCTTGTGTCATGAGCATCTCTTTAATGCTGGAAAAGGAAGTTTGGGATACATGAGGTCCAAAAGGAAACATTAGTTAGTGTTAGCCTTGCCTCCTTCAGTAGTAAGAGCTGGAGGGCTAGTGGAAACCATTGTGGCCTTTCCCACATGCTATGAACTCTTTTGTCCCCATTTCCTCTGCTGTACTACTAAGGCTGAAGAAATCCTGTCACTTTGAGCCAATGAGAAGCCAGTGCCTCTGCAAGTGTCCAGTGGGAAGCCTTGAGGTGTGGGAATGGAGTTAGATTGGAATGCCGGATGGTTTGCAGGTTCTGGTTCTGTTTTTTTTTTTTCTTTCTTCCCCAGGCCTCTAAAGGAGTGGTTTGTTTTTTTTAGAGAGGACTTGTGAGGGGCATCAGCAGTCACCAAGTTGTTGCCAGATCCTATGCTGCCACCCTGTGTCCCTAATGTTGGTGTGTGGCCTCTGGGCAATGGATGCGGGTTCAAATCCTCCTGTTTCCTTGGGACAGAGACAAGGCTACATGCAGAGCATCAGTTGAGCACAGCGCTTTCTCACTAGCTGCTTTTTGCAAAGGTTAATTGATTGAAATCAAGTGCTGCAATGTGTAAAGACGCTTCATTTCCAGCGAGGAAAATAAATGAGTGTGTTTGAATGATAGGCTATGAGCAACAGTGGCTACTGCTTGATGCATGGTGCTTAATGACACTGCTAGACTCCATTCCCATGATGTCAGCAGGAACGATCCCTAAGTCTCAGGCTTGGGCTGGGAGAATTCAGGCCCTGGCATGAGCCGACCCGGCAGCCCTAGAAGGAGGAGATGGCATTTCCATCATGACTGGTGATGGGATGCCATCCTCTCCCAAGGTGGCGCGCTAGCTCAGGGGCTAAAGAGTGGTCCCCTGACTCAATGCAAAGACAGCGAAGTTCAAGAGTTATGTCCAGGCAGAATGAGATGTGGCTTTTGGGAGTAAGGAGAAGGGCAGAGAAACAGTCAGGGTTGAGTTGGGACTTATTTCCACAAAGATAATTATCTGAAGTTGAGCCTCCCCAGGACACTTACTAGTTTGCCTTTAATCCTTTGCCCTCTGGATCAAACACTTTGAAGGCATTCAGGATAGTTTCCTCTGGATCAGCTCCTGTAAGGCAGAGAGAACACCTTAAGGTCAACACATTAGATTGCCTTGGTTTCCCTGAAGCAGACCAGCTCTGGCCAGATTTTTTTCAGCAGAGGTTTGCCCTTGCCTACCTCTGAAGTTGAGAGAGAAAGACTTGCCCAGAGTTATCCAGTGGTTCTCCATGGCAGATTCAGCACTTGGTGTCGTAAAAATCTAGTTCATTGTTCAGACCCCACAAATTCTCCTGTTCAAGGCCCAACTCAGGCTAAATCTAACCCAATACAGATATTTGTACAAGTTGCTCATTCTTGACATTGCCCCAGAGCAAATTTGAGTTCCTAAACCCTCCTCACAAAAGAAGGCCAGCAGTGCATGGAAAGTCCCAACCCGTTTTTTCTCTCACCTTTGAGTTTCTCTCCAAACATGGTCAGGAACACAGTGAAGTTGATTGGTCCAGGTGCTTCTTTGATCATGTCGTCTAGTTCTTCGTTCTTCACATTCAGGCGTCCTGGGCAAGAAGGAAAACACAATATGATTAAAAAAGAGGGATATTCACTAAAAATTCATGATGAGGTTGAAAGGCCCAGCATTCCATTGTTAACCTGTGCCACTCTATTTACAGGCCTACCACCAGGCTGATGGCAACCCACCAGGCATGTTTATGAGAGCTGGAGAACATCTCACTTTGGTGCATGGGATGAGGTAAACAATGGCCATCACTGACCGTCTGATAGGTGCCTTGCAGCTCAAGGTCAAAACTTGGGGAAGTTACTGGTTGATGCTTCCCTAAATGACAACTCCAAGCAATTCTGGGCCCTGGTCACGGGAATGCTGGGATCTGGGAAAACATCTCCCAAATGCCATATACCAGCACAGGTGTGGGAAACATACTTCACTTTACTATATGGATCAAATGAAGGAACAGTCAGAAGGGAGGGGAAAGAAAATGCAGTCTTCTCCATTGGTACCATAGACACACCACAATGGCCCCAGTGACCAGTGGAGAGATAAAAACTCTGATCTCATCACTTAAAAATGGTAAGGCCCCAGGGCCAGATCAAATACCCCCTGAATTTCTAAAAAATAACATCTTGTGGTGGACAGCCTTCCTAGCCCCCCTCTTCACACACATCAACCGCACAGCCTTAATTCCTGCCTCATGGTCAAAATCTACTTTAATCCCGATATTTAAAAAAGGGGATAAAAACGATCCAGCGAACTACCGCCCTATCAGTTTACTCTCGGTGGTGGGCAAACTTTATGCTCGCCATTTATATAGCAAGCTTCTAGACAGGTTAGACTCAGAAAAAGTAATAGGTGAGGAACAGGCAGGCTTTAGAAAAGGGAGGTCTACCATAGACCATTGTATCGTGTTAAGCCACCTAGCAGAAAAATAACAAGCCCCTCCCTACAAAGGACTATTTACCGTGTTTATAGATCTAAAAGCTGCCTTCGACTCTATTCCAAGAAATCTACTATGGCAAAAACTACAGAAGACCACAATTGACAAAAGATTGCTCTGGTTAATTAAGAGCTTATATTCAAACACTTCAACACAAGTAAGATGTGGAGTACAAGGCAACCTCTCAAAACCAATAGCAGTAAATAGGGGGGTGCGCCAGGGGTGCATCCTGGCCCCTATTCTGTTTAACCTATATCTGAACGACCAGCCACCCATGTTTCACTACCAAATGGACATCCCCCTAAAATCTCATCCACCAATATACCGCTATTGTTATATGCAGATGATGCTACCCTCATATCTTACACCAAGGTAGGACTCAAGCGAGTGCTAAGTGCATTCTACCAATACTGTGAGAAAAACCAGCTAAAGATAAACTATAGTAAAACCAAAATCATGGTCTTCTCAAAGAAGCGAGCCAGGCATAACTGGTACATAGGAAATAACTTAATTGAACAAGTTTCCAGTTTTAAATATCTAGGGGTTACCTTTCAAGCCTCAGGTTCCTGGGGATGCCACCAAAAAATGGCAGTTCAAAATGCCCTATCCAGTAGTAAAGCAATAATTCGCTTTTTTTACACCAAAGGTGGCCAGTATATACCAGCAGCAACAAAGGTCTTCCAAGCAAAGGTAACAGCCCAATTATTATACGCAATTCCAGTATGGATCACAGGCTTCACATCCAAAGTAGAACAAGTTCAATCAGGGTTTCTTAGAAAACTGTTTGCTGCCCCCAGTTGTGTTCCATCTGCTGTTTTAAGAATGGAATCAGGAACAGCCTCACTCGAATCACTGGCTTGGAGAAGGGCCCTAGGATACTGGATGGAGAGGGTGCACAAAGGGCCTGATTCAAAAAGACTTCTTTAAATCCCACCGAATCAAAGCACTAAATCCAGAGGCGGCCCTAGGTAATTTTCAAAGGTAAGCAAACATTATTTTGGCGCCCCCCCCCCAACCAATCACTGAAAAATAAAACGTAGAAGATAGAGGTGAATAAAAGAGTTACCTTACAAACCAGAAATTTACTTACAACATTATGTTCATATAGTTACATTACCTAGAATTAACACAAATTAACTTTTTTAGAATGCAAATATTTTATTAAACTTAGCAACAATTTTAAGGGTTTGTTGTTATTTTTGGTCTACAAGTACTACACAAAGGTTTCCTGGTCATGCTGTCTCTTCAGAAGATTTTTCAGACTTTGGGTTTGCTAATAACAGAGAACTCAATCCCATGCTTGTTGGGTCTGTCAATCAGATTTGTTTTGGAGAACGCAGCCCCAGGAGAATAGACACCTCCTTTTTAAGAAAGTGAACTCTTGTCCTTCAAAAGTGCCATGCCAGCCTGGACCATTACAATGGGTGTGGCAACGTAGTCAGCCTCTGGCCCCTTCACTTTAGTGGATACTTTAACATCCAGTTTTCCTTAACACAAATAAACTTGAACACTTTTAAAATTAAAAAGAGATTTTTCTGGCTTTCAATTTTGAAAACTCGTGTACTATTATATCTGTTTCCATTTCATCCAACAAGCCATTTTCAATGGCCAAGGTTGCTAGTCCACTCAAGCGCTTCTTGACTCAAAGTTGATCTTAAATACGTTTTTATAAGTTTTAATTTTGAAAAACTCCTTTCACCGCTGGCCACAGATACTGGAAGTGTTAACAGAATTCTCAATGCAATATAAACTTTTGGGAAAGTATCCACATAACCACGTTTGGTTATGAAAGACAACGCTTTAGCTGGAGGACTTCCAGGGGGCAGCATAGTTGCAAATATTTGTAGCTCTTCAAACAGATCATCACCGTTCACATCGCAGTCTTCTCCATCAGCCAAAATGGTTTGAAGGTGTTGACAGGCATTCTTCAATTCTGTTTCATTCAAACTTTTCCCAAGGCTTGAAATATCATACTGGGATCAGATCTTGGGATATAGGGCCTATCTGGAAGGGCCCCTAGACCCCTTCTACACTGTCTATTTCCCAGGATCTGATCCTAGGTTTTCTGCTTTAAACTGGATTATATGAGTCCACAATGCCAGATAATCTGGGATACACAAAAAACCTGAGATCAGATCCTGGCATATAGGATCTGTCTGGAAGGGTTGCTAGACCCCTTCTACATTGTCCTTATATCCCAGGATCTGATCCCAGGTTATCTGCTTTGAACTGGATTATATGAGTCCACACTGCCAGATAATCTGGGATAAACAGAAAACCTGGGATCAGATCTTGGGATATAGGGCCTGTCTGGAAGGGCCCCTAGACCCCTTCTACACTGTCCTTATAACCCAAGATCCGATCCCAGGTTATCTGCTTTGAACTGGATTATATGAGTCCACACTGCCAGATAATCTGGGATAAACAGAAAACCTGGGATCAGATCTTGGGATATAGGGCCTGTCTGGAAGGGCCCCTAGACCCCTTCTACACTGTCCTTATAACCCAAGATCCGATCCCAGGTTATCTGCTTTGAACTGGATTATATGAGTCTGCACTGCCAGATAATCTTGGATAAACAGAAAACCTGGAATATGAGGATTAAAAGATTGAACTGCAAAGACTCTGGCACTAGCCAGTCAAATTGGTCCCAGTGGTGATCGGCACACTGGGTGCAGTGCCTAAAGACCTTAGCCTGCACTTAAAAACAATCAGCACTGACAAAATCATGATCTGCCTGCCAGCTGCAGAAGGCCACCTTACCCCAGTACGCATTATTCACCTATACATCACACAGTCCTAGACACTTGTGAAGTGTCCCACGTGTGATCCAATACAACTTTCTGCCCCATATAACAACAACAACAAACCCACAAACAACAACGGTAAGTCAAAGTTATAGCAGGTTCCCTCATCCTTTCTGCCCCATATAATACTAAAATAATAATAATAATAATAATAATAATAATAATAATAATAATAAAAAGAAGAAGAAGAATATAATAACAACAACAGTAAGTGGGACTTGGGTGATTTGGACTCCAACTCCCACTATTCCTCACAGCCTCAGGCCCTTTCCTTGTAAGCAGGTGACTAGAACTGACCCGGCTCCTCGTGCTCCTCCCGGATCTTGAATAGCTGGAGCAGGAGGCACAAGGGCGCCTCGCACACAGCTGCTCTCGCCTCCTCCCGCACGCATGCACGGAGTGGAGGGAAACACCGTCCAACTGTGGGGCGCATGCGCAGAGCCAGAAGGGAGGCAGCGGACTCTGTGTAGCCTTCAAGAGGGAGAGGGAGGCAGAGAAAGGTTGCGGAGGGGAGGGGGCATTTACAGAGGCGCCCTTGAGCCTCTGGCAAAAAAACCCAAAAAACTATTCAGCAGCCGCTTACCTAGCGTAATGCAAGAACCGCCCCTGACTAAATCAGAAACTCAGGCAGATGGGCCTCTCAGAGAATATATTGAGCGGTTCTGAGCATAAAAAGTTAATGCAGATCTTAGCGGAACGAATCAGTGACATAGACAAACAGGACTCAATGACTCTGGAGGGCTCCACATGCTCTCCATTGAGTTTAGGCCTAACATTTAATTCTTTGGGAGGTGCCAAATACTTAGAAAATTTAAACATCCCAAAATTTCGCCTTGCTTTCAGTTGGGCCAGATTCAATGCCCTTAAATCAGCCATACTAGAGGGTAGAAACAAAGGGACTGATTACAAACACAGAGTTTGCCCATGCGGGGAGGGTAAAATTGAAACTGTAATACATGTACTTTTTATTTGCACAATTTACAAGGATGATAGACTAAGGTTAATATCCCCTCTACTCACCAAGTGGCCAGGAAGAGCCACAAGTTGGTACTGCACTTATTTACTGTCTGATCTTGATAAAAGAGTAACGGAACAGGTGGCCAAATTTCTGTTTGCAGTGGCAAAAAGCCGCAAGTGCTTCATGAATAACCTGTAAAGGCTGAGTGTAACAAAGAGTACTTGGGAGACTTATTATTAATTTGCAATCAGTTCCTGTTTTAGATTATATAGACAGTCATTTATCCGATAGCGAATGGTGATACTTCTTTTTATTAATTATAAGCCAAATGTAATGTTATTAATTGTTAATTGTTGTATTTCATCGTTCTACTTTCACTTGACTCAGCCGATGGTTTGTTGACCGAAATAAAGGCTACTGACTGACTGACTGGCTGACTGACTTTTCAGAGATGTCTTGTGGATGGATGGTGCTTCTTGGCTTACCTAATGCAGCAAATGTATCTCTTAGGTCTGCTTTGTCGATGAAGCCATCCCGGTTTTGATCCATGATGGTGAAGGCCTAGAATGGAATAGACAGATCAGAGATGGGCAGTGCTCCAAGTTCAGTATGACTACATGTTAGGGACAGGAATTTGTTCACTGAATACTAAAGTAAGGGTGTCCATGCCATTGCATTTCTGTACTGTGTACAATAAAGGATGGCTGTAAAGCATGGGTAGTGAAGAAAAATAACAGAAAAAAGATTGGTTCAACTGACATGTATTGGTGGAGAGTTATCTGGATCTCATGGGCTGCCTAAAAGTAAATGTTTTAATAACACTATGTAACATACTATGTTCCTGGGTTATAAATATCATTTCCTAATTGATTCTATCATAAAAACATGGAAAAAGTTTATTAAACTTCAAAAACTTTGTTTGTGCAGGACATCCTGAAGCACATTTTTCTCTAGTTTTTCAATGAATATCTCACAGTCTCAACCAATTCAACCTAATTTGTGGCAGCCACAAAAACAAAGTTCCTGGAGTATAACAACTACTTTCAAGAAAAGTCCTGAACAATTAAACAGGAAATAACACTTACAAACCAGAAACAGATTTTCTTTTCCAAATTTTGTTACATAGTGTAATATTAATGGAAGTCACAGCTGACCTGCATTTGCAAGACCTCTTCCCAGCAGAGTCACTTAGAGGTCTCTAATATCTTCACACCAGAAGCGACTTGCAGTTTCTCAAGTCGCTCCTGACACGACAAAAAAAAAATGTCGAGTTGCCATATGTCCAAGACAACTTGATGGCAATGAAAAACAATGCTTTATAGGTGGGGATGATATTTCAGGAGGGTATCCACCCATAGCACAGTAGTGTTTCTTGTGCCCGTTTGATAAGAACCCACTGTTCCAGTCTTTAAGCTCAGGCTCTGTGGCTCGGTTCCACAGATAAGACCTGGCTTCAGATTCAGCTCCAGCAAAGCCCCTTTTTAATTGGATTCCAGAGCTCTTAATCTTCTTGAATATTGGGTTGCCCAAGCCTTGGCATATGTCATATGTCAATGTTACATGAGGCTGTTTCAAAGGACAGTTTTGTGTAGCAAGTCCACCCTCTCAGTAATTCTGAATGTGGGACCAAGGCTAAAGGAACTGTCCCATGCCTAGGAGGTTTAGGATGGAAGTGAGATTTGAACACAGGACATCCCATCCACCCTGGTTCACAACCCGAGCTGTTGGACTATAGTGCATTTTAACAACACTTTGCAAATACTTTGCCTGCAACCCGCCTGCCACAGCAATGAGCCTGCCTTCAATTTCTCAGGCAGAGCGAGGAAGGCACTGCATTACAAGTAACTTTATGAGTTGTCATGCAATATTTTATAGGTTAACAAGAGCATAATAATGCTAGTTCTTAACAGAAATGTCATGGGTACTAATATCCTTTTTAGCAGAATGAGCTTAATTATTATGTCCAAAAATAAAAAATAAAAAAATAATTTTATTTTTTTAAAATATCCAAGCTTTGATGTCAGGTTCCATGGACATACCTCTTTGAACTCCTGGATCTGTGCCTGTTCAAACATGGAAAAGACGTTGGAGTTGGCCCCTTCTGCTCTCTTCTTCGCTTTCTTGGGTGCCTGGGGGCAGGATCCAGAAATGGCATGGTTATTCCTGAGCATTTGAACCTTTGCCTGCCAACCTCCCTTTAGTTAGTTCAATGAGTAGTCCATCCAGCCGAGCCTCCAACGATTCATCCAGGAACTCTTTGTCCTGTCCTGGCACTTTTTACTGGACTCAGAACCTCTCAAGTCAGAAGCCTTTGCTCTGCTGCTAAGCTTCTTGCTTTAGGGTTATTGGCAAGGCTGCCTTGCCAGGTGACTTTATTGGGCAGTGAGCGATGTACCAATGTGCCAGGTGCTGCCCTCTTGACCACAGCTAGATCACCTCAACTAAGAGTTCTGCCACACAGATGCCTTTGAGTGCCACAAAATCACTAGACTCATTTCTGGGCTCTGAACTATTATATCTTTTTCTCCTTAGCTGTATTTGGGTAAGGAGAAACAGAATTGACAAAGGATGGATAAAATAAAGCAAAATATACGCAACTCAATGCCGACCTGACTGGATGGGTCCCCATTTTTCTGCTTTTGCACCCATGCAAGCAATTTGGCAACTCCACTTCTACAGTTCTGAACAGGATGCAAGTATTCTGCGATTCACAAAAATATACAGTTGCTTCTGTAGGGGACTGTCAGAATGCACTGGACTCAGGGTGCCAGACCAAATCTTTGAAAGTTATTTGGTTCCTTATGCCAGTAACATGGCTAGCATCCTCTTTGTGGCATGACTCCACCATATGCTTGCATATCTATTGTTTTGGTGGTTGCGGAGGCTGGTATTCCCTTCCTCCCTGTACAATGTCTCCACAGTGAGGGACAGGAGACACATCTGGCTATACCATCTTTTGAGATGACCTATTAGAACTCAAAAGATAATGCCCTTGTCTGGCTACAAGGACATAGCCAGGTACTTCTTGCATGCGCCCTTGCTCTCCACCAGTTGCAGAATGATCATGGAGGGGGATATTGTGGCACAATGATGATAGGGCAGCCATGGCAGAATCCTACATGCAAGATTCCTATGCCATGCTTGGTCACATAGGGTCTTGGCCTGGTTGGTCTCCTCCATTTCCCACCTCTTTATCTGGTCAGTCCCTCAGCAGATGAGAATCTTGCCCATCTCTTGTTTCTAAGGGGACACGCTCACCAAGGGAGGTCAGTTTCCCCTTAGCTGCAGCTGATCCAGATCTATAGTGATCATAGCTTCCCAAGATGTGACCCTCATTCTCACCCACCTCCCTCGGAGCCAACCCTCCAATCCTTCCGGGTTCTTTCACTCACCATATCAAAGACCAAGGTGTCCAACTGGTATTGCTGTCCGAAGAGAAAACTATCAGCGGGTGCCCCTGTGACTTGGGCTGCTGAGACAATAAATACAGCCCATCGCAGATTAAAAATAAACCCATGTCCACTTTTGGCTGTAAAAGGTGAGTGCTTGCCCCCTCCCAACCCAACCTCCCTTCTCCCTTCTTAAATGACAGGGCTCATTGTCATGCGGTGACATGTGAGACAACAGAAGCTTCCAAGGTTAGGGACATACCAGCTACAAGCCTCCCACACACACTCTCTCACACACCCTGCAGCCTCTCTATTTAAGACGTCGATGCACGTTTTGTTGGGTGGTTAGCTGAGAGCACCTGTGTGTGTCAGTTTGGCTTCAATGTGTACATCTCAGATGGATAGCAATGGGGAAGGGGAACAACTTCACCAAGGTAACTGAGGTGTTCTCTTGGAGACAAATGTCCCCATGCCTAGGTCAATTCACTCAGTCTGTCACACTGAGTGAATGAAAGTTCTGGCCAGATTACTGCTGGTAGGTCCAACTGAATTAGTGGGGTTTACACAAGTGTTGATTCAACATGAGTCTATTTTCACTCAGGATGTCAATAGGATTTAGACCAGTGGTTCTTAACCTGTGACCGTGGACCACCAGTGGGCTGCGAGGAAGGAAAAGGTCCACGAGCCTCGTTCCTCTTTATTAATTTTACTTTATTTTATCTTATCTTATTTTATTTTATACTAGCCATCCCCTGCCACGTGTTGCTGCGGCCCAGTCTGTGTATATATGTTTTGTGTGTGTGTATATGTGCATGTATATATTTGTGTATATGTGTATATGTGTATATATGCGGTTTTGTGCATGCGTTGCAATGTATTTTTTAAATATATTTTTTGGCTTTTAAAGTCTCTTCTGCTGTGTTTTTCAGTGTTTTTATAAGTGATGATCACTTGTTGGCCTGATAGGTGTATAGTGTCAAAATTTGGTGTCAATTCACCCAATGGTTTTTGAGTTATGTTAATCCCACAAACAAACATTATATTTTTATTTATATAGATATTTTATTTCCACTCCTTTCATGCCACCTACCACTCCTTCCCTGTCACTGACTAGCCCCAACCCCTTGGATGGACCACATCAGCTCTAGATTATTAAATTTTTTTTTGTGGGCGAGCAGATGGATAATAAGGTCTGCAGTTCTAGATTATTAAATATGGTTTTCTGTGAGTGAGTAGATGGCGACTATTGGATGGCATATGTTCTGTATCAGAAACTAGAGCTGATATGGGCTATCCAATGCAGTTTTTAGAATCAGCACCCCAAATAACCAAACCAAATCTAAAGTTGACCAAAAATTGATTCGTAACCCTTGTGGTACTAATGTTGGAGAGTGGTCCCTGGTCAAGTGGTCCCTGGTCAAAGTGATCCCTGGTCAATTGGTCCCTGGTCAAAAAAGGTTGGGGACCACTGATTTAAATTATTAACTTGGGGAAAACTACTTTTTTGAATTACAGCTTTCCAAATCCCAGTCCCCATGTTTATATTCGTATTTTCCGTGTTGTTGTTGAGGTTATTATTTGTTGTCAACTTGATTTCAACTTATGATGGCTCTATGAATGAGAGACCTCCCAGAGACCCAGCCCTCAATTGCCCTGCTCAGATCCTGCAGATTCAAGGTAGGCATGATTTCTTTGGTGGAGTATATCCACCTGCAATGTGGTCTTCCTCTTCTTTTCTACTGCTTTCAGTTTTACTGAGCATCATCATCTTTTCCAACTAGCCATTTCATCTCATGATATGTAGAATAGTCACAGGTTAGTCTTCTAGGTTTCTATAGAGAGGTCAGGTCTCATGTAGGAGTAATAGATATCTAAAGACCAGCACAGACCCCCCATAGCTTCCAACATTTCACAGGTAAAAACTGAAACAGGTGTCTCCAAGTCACATCAGAACATGGTCAAAATTGAATTTCTGTTCTTAATGGGTTTTTAAAAAAATAAAACTTCTATTTTTAAAATGTTTTAAAGTTTTCAGGTTTCACACTCCTGGTCTATGACTGTAAAAATAAAATTGATTCATGGTCAAGTTGACAAAAGTTATTGACAAGTATTGCTCTCAATGTCCTGAACATACGGTCTTTGCCGTAAAACTGCCTGAGAATCAAGGTATGTAGTGACAAAGGAGCTTTAGAAGACCCTATCTACCATTTAATTAAATATATATATTCTAATTGAGTTCAATTTGTAGGGCTTTGAAAAGTTACTGTTTTGGACTACATCTCCCCAAATTAGCTTTTCCTATCTGTGCTGAAAAATGGGTGAAAGCAACACCAGCAAGGTTTTTGATCTCACCCAACACCTCTGTTCTTGCTAGTCTTACCTCTATTGTTTTAAAGAAGAAAGCAGGAAGATAGATCTCCTGAAAGGCTAGATCCACCATGGCCTGAAGCAGTGTGTCTCAAACTGCAAAGGTGCCAAGGAAAAGTAATTGTGGAGGCAAGGACTACGAGGCATGACTATGGGCAAACAGTCTTGCAGTCCAGTCTTTCAGGCTGAACCCTGGGGCAGATGGAGTTTTCAGCTGACCAGGGCAAGCAACCTTCCCTTGCTTTGCCTTTGTATTTTTAGCTTGCTCGCCCTGTCCCTCAGCATCTCCTCCCCCAGGGGCTGGGAGTACAGACATACTTAGAGGCTGGAGAGGGGGCTGAAGGTGACACCCGGGGCACAAACAATACTGTCCCAGTCTTCGCCCTTGGCCGCAGCTGTCTTAGCCACGCGTGATGGAAACAAATGAAGGTACCAACAGCTGCTGCGCCGGGCTAAGGTTCTTTCTTCCCCATAGCTCTGCACATGGTCGGGTGAGAGCCCAGTTTTATCCATTAGTCACCAAGGCCAGGCGATCTTCATGAAGGCCCCTCCTTCCTCTGCTTCTGGATGTACAAGCGCGTGGCACAGCGTTGTCTTCAGCAGAAGGATGAACTGATCCAAACTGGCAGCTGAGGGGCCTCCTTCCAAATAAACCCAAATCAGGCACTTGTTTGTTCCATAGCCACTGAGAGAAGATGGCAAAAGGGAGTGGTCCTTCAGAGTCAGATGCTAGGGTCATTGGCACCTTGCCTCTAAGGGCTGCTCTGTATCTCTTGAGGAGAGGGGTCAAGATGATCTTTGTCACTCAACCCAGAAGGCAAAAACTGGATGGAAGTCTCTTTTGGTCCGGTGACTCACCCCTTTTGGATAGAGGTAGCCTGTGTTTAGCGGAGTGAAACATCCTCTGGTTTGGACTATTTCTTTCCCTTTGATACCTCTTTTCCTGTCTTCCTTCCTTTGACATTCTCACTCTCTCTGAGGCCCTTTCATGCTCTGTCTCATGATGCCCACTTCTCTCTTGCTCTCTCTTGAGCTTCTTTTTCCATGGGCTACACTTCCTTGGCTCAACTTGACATGCTACAGATGTGATGGACTACAATTCCTATCATCCCCCTGCAACCTGCCCTAATGACAGTCGGCTAGTGAGGAGCTGCCTAACTCTCCAAATCAGAATGCTTCCCCTTTCCCTTTTTTGCCTCCTTCTTTCCCCCTCAGTTACAACTGTAAATTCTCTCCCTCCTATTTGGTTAATTTATTCTTTGATGGGGAAATGGATTTCAGAAATAAAAATGTCAAAACTTGTTTCCTTTACACCACAAATTTCTATAATGGGTCTGTGTGCACCGAAGGCTTATCAAGTTTTTTTTCCTTCCCCAGAATGATTTCCCAGGCTGTTTTACCAGCAGCTGATCGGCTTTACGTGTCTTTCTTCTGTATGCATCCACAAAGTAAAAGAGTGCTCGAGACATTTATTTATTGATATGCTGCAAAAGGAGGGTTTAATCTGCCTTCCTTTGGAATACGGTGTTCAATATTTTGACAGTAGCCGTTTGTTCTCATCTCCATTGGTCTAGATTCCTCCACGGCCAGATGCTAATTCGCAGCGGCTTTAGAGGCCTAGTGAGCTATTCCTGATATTCTGGGGGTGGGGTGAAGCTCAGTTTAAGTTTAAATTGGAATGGGTAGCAGGTTGCTGCAGGTGAAACTGGCCTTCCTTGCCCTCTGCTAGCGACCAAAAGCCTCTCCTAGATTGGGTTTTGAGCAGGTGATCCTTCTGCCTCAATCCCAGAATTTCACACACGAATCCAGACGATGCTGGATTTTTGCCCTGCACCTGGAACTGAACCACAACAACATTTCAAGTTTTATGCAAGCAATTCTTAAAACAAGAAACAGAGAACAGAATCTGAAATTGCTGTTATCCTGCAGATAGGATAAGCAGTTATCCAACAGCTACATGGGAGAGGGGGGAAACTGCAAAAGAAGTGAGGGTCATTTTCTCTTCTGACTCCCACTCAGCAGGCTGCACCAGTGCTGCCATCATGACCAGAAGTGAATTTGATGTTGAACACAAATTTGGGAGGCCCTGCCAAGGCAGAGACTGGCCAGACCCGAAAAAGAGGATCTGGACACCTGGCGAGACAGAAGACACCCAGAAAGATTTTTCCCTATTTTTCCCAATAAATCTCACCAAGTTGAAGGAAAACCACCGAGTAGTTTATTTCATTCCAGCTGGAATGGATGACAAAAGCAATCATTTGCCCAGGAGCCGATATGACTCGTTGGGGAAAACAATGCAATTTTAATAAGAAATACAGAGCTGTCAAATTCAAATTCCCCACGCCTTGACCCAGCTTCATGCTGATTGGTTGGAGTAAACAGCTGGCTGGGAGGCGCAGTCGGCTGGGCTGTGCTCTGTCCAATCAGAGCACTTGCCCCGCTTTGGCTTCTCAGCCAATGGGAAGGCAGGAGGCGGGCCAGGCAGGAAACAATGAAGGGGGTGCAAAGGTGACAGGATTAAGGTGACCAATGTTTGCCAAATGACCCAATGATAGCTTAAGCCCTCAAGTCGGATCTGAGTTATTGTTTGATTCATTTGAATCACCATCTTTCATCTTGCCCCAAAGGGCTAGGTACTTTGTTCTACAGTCCCGGGATATGGAGTTCATTGATGAAGCTTGAGGTTGGTTTCAGCCGGTTAGGGTTGACACAATA